CTTGCCAGCAGCCCAGGGATGTCCCGAGTCTTAAGCAGACTGATGTTATTTTCTTGGCTTCAGTCTTGCTCTTTGAAGGTGTGTCAATTTGCAATCCCCTCTTCCCAGGAGGCTTTTACTCCCTCCCAGAACTGTGCAAACCCCAAGCTCCTTTTGCTATGGGCTAGAGAGCCAGGTTTCTGGAATTTTCTACAGAAGAGCCAGGCGTCTGAGTCCCCTAGCTCCACCATCCCGCTTTTATGTGGATGCCCTGGAAGATATGTTCGCCTGTAAGCAGCAAAGCAGCACACTTAGGACGTGTGCACTGGTCTACGGATGCGCTGCTAAAAGTCCCTCAGCGTTTTCGCCGGGGTCAGTTCTTACCCGGCCCCAACTCTAACCTAATAGCTCTGGCTTTGATGCTACCTCCACTCTTTCACGCAATTCTGTCTCCCAGAGCTGTCCTTTTCACATTCAGCTAAGAGAGGAAGCATTAAATGTATCCATTGAATCTATTTACAGTGGGGGACAAAGGGGCGAGCGGGAAGTTTCACTGACTTCAGGCTCGGAGGGCTACAGAATGCTCACCCGAGGGCTATTAGTGTTTACAAGAGGAGCTGTCAGCATGGCAGACTTGAGCAGCTGAGGCAGGACTGCCTAAAGTAGCAAGGCCCTGTCTCAAAACACAAACCACAGAAATGATGTTACAAGAGAAGACTGGAACATGCTGAGCCTGAGGAGACACTGGCGACACAGGGAAAAGACACAAGCCCTGTCTTTAATGATTCCTCCATGACTGTCCCGTCTCCGTGAGCACACAGCCCTTGGTGATCATCTAAAGACTGTCCAAAACTAACAGTCCGAGGTCCATTTACTCAATGCTGCACCCTACCCCCGTTCTAATACCTTGATGCCAAAGCAAACATAACAAAGACATTCTCGAAACTTACCAGGTATGAACCCGTGACTACACAAAACCGAACAGACCCAACTCTTTGGTCTTGCAACATCCTGTTCGGACTACTGGAGAGACAGCATTCTGCCGTCATCAGTCACCTAAACTCCCTTGCCTAAAGATAAAAGGAGCTTGAGACACATCCCCCTAGAGGTGGTCTTTCAGGACCCAAGCTCTTATTTGTCTTGGGTTTGCTTCCTTCCCAACAACCTGTCCTTGAATCACTGGGCTCTTCCTGAGCAAGTCAACAGACGCGGGATTTTAACCATAGCTGTAAGGAACGTTAGCCTAGTTCTTGGCTCATCCCCACCTTTGCCAAAGGAATTGCTGATTTTTAAAAAGAGGGTCTCCACTGAATGTCTAGACCCTGCCAATCACTGACTCACTCACTAAGCACACTCTTTGAAAGGTGATCCCGCCCTGTTCCTCAGAGGAGGGAAACACCTGTGCAGAGGACCCGAGTTGCCTGAGGCCGCAGAGCCAGGGCAAAGCTGGTGTTTGAAGCTAGGTGTGCCAGTGTTCCCCAAGTGGAGGCTGTTCCATTCTCCCAAAATACAACTCAAAAGATAAAATGCTAACAGGGGCAGGGGCCAGAGAGCACGCGCGGAGTTCACGGCCAGCATCATGAATTTATCAGCATGGAGGACCACAGCTGAGAACCTAGGAATTCAGATTGAAAGCCGAGCTGGGATGCACCATGGAAATTCCATTCAATAATCACAGTCCAAGGACAAAGCCTCTCAGATTCCCAAGACCCACGTAACCGTCACCTACAATCTTTAATTTTCATAGATTTACAACATTTGTCTTCGTTCCTTGCCAACCTGCGCCACCCAACAGTTAATGATTGCGTATTCCTCTCCTTCCTTCATTCTGATTTGTGTGCTCAAATAAAGAATTGTGACCTCCGGGTAAAGACGGGGCTTACACACAGATTTAGCTTCACTTTGGCCCAAACCCCACCAAAATCTCCACAGAGGTCTTAGAATGGCGGGGGTGGGGGTCCTTTCTGTTCTCAAGCACAAATCAAAAATAAAGAGGGAAAGAACACTACAGGAACAGAATTTTAGAAGCTAGAGGGCAGGTGAATCAATATTTCATGGTTCAGCCAGCCGAAGAAAAACTGAATTGTAAGCTGGCCATTCTAAAATAAGAACCATTTAGATTTAGACAACAGAATCCCTAGTGGCTAGGACTGGCGGCAGCAGGTGCCTTTGGAAGTGGAGATGAGAAAAACATGCTATAATGAGATGGATTAAAAGTCCCTGAGAGCAGCTGTCAGATGCCCAGGTTCCCACTCTGCGGTGGGGCGGCGCCCCCATCTCATGACCAAGTGAAGACTGCATTCCTGGACAAGTTGTGCAGGTTCTAGGGAAAAGCGGTAGACAGCCCAGGGGACTTTTACAGGAAGAGGTAACAGAAAGATTACCAGTATGTCTGGATGTCTTCGGGGATTGAATCAACTGAATAAATCCTGATATTAATTGTAAGGAGAACGAAAAGGCACAGAAGGCAAGGTAACTGCAGTTTACTACATATCCAACAGAAACGGTAACTCGACTGAGCTGGAAGGATGGAGACATGAGGTGCACACGGGAAAGTACGGTTCTTGTTTGCCAAAGAGTGAATGACGTCTAAAATGAAGCACCATGCAGAAGAGCAGGCGGGCCAGCAGCATGGAGGTAAATTTAAATTAAGCTAAACTTCGACAGCTTCCATGTCTTAAAGCTGGTGCAACGTCAGCTAGCTGAACCTTCGCTCCAGAACTTGGTGTTCACTCATGACTGCATTTAATTCTGATCAAGCTATCAGCCTAACGATCCCCCAAATAAGAAACTGTTAGCGTACGAGTCACTACATTGAACGATTTAAGATGGTATGAGTTTTGGTACCTGAATGTCATGTCGTCTTTTTTTCTCGAAGGCATGAGAGACACACACGATGCTAAGGCAGTTTAAATAACCCAGCCTTTTCCCAGTATTCCCACCTCAACTAGAGATGACAGAGTTCATAAGGACTGAAATATTAGTGTAAGAACAGAACCTAAAGGTTCATTTGAGTAACTGTTGGAATCATCCCACACCAGTTTTAATTGGGAATTTTCAAAAAAAAAAAAAAAAAAAGGCACCATCCATAAATCCAGATTCAGCTAGTCTAGTGTAAAATCCAAGCACTGGTATTTATAAGATCCTTGGGTAATTTACAATATGCATCCAGGGTTACTCATAACAGAAGTGAACTATTCTCTATATATGTAAGAAGACATTTTTAGGATGTTACACACAAGGTGGGAAGGAGATAAAGAGAAATTTGAATTGCTAAAAATGGTTGAAGGACGCATAAAGACAACTGATAGTATATCTAGGTGCTTCTTGGCATACAGGTTACTCCCCCACAACCCTAGCAAAAGCTAAAAACACCACAGGTAGAAAACGTACTTTCTATACCTTATCATAGTGTGGCCTCGCCTACACACATACTCAGCGCACCGAGCTCACAGTCGGGCAAATCCTCTAGCATATGGCATATTTTATAAGCATTTAACACCTGCAGCTTGTTGACTATTAAAGATGAAAAGCAAAATGCTTTCTAGGCTAATCTTTCATATCACTGCATAAAGCCAAACACTGAGCTATCCTCAACCGGGCACTGCTGGAGTATAACTGCTCATTCCTCTGAGCAGGTCTACTACACAAGATGTGAAAAGCTTTCGATGCGACCACCACAGGCCTGAGAGGACAGAGCCCTCAAGTAGGAGCCTAGGAGAGCAGGATCTAGAACCAGAGATGTCCGGACCCTGGTCCTCCACAGGAATGAAGGGCTGAGATCTTCAGAGCAGAGCGAGAACCACAGGAGAAAAATGACAAAGCCATAAGTGGATTCGTAATCATTCACACTCGGTTCATTGGTCCCAGGTCACCACAACCCGATGCCTGAGCTCACCTAGTCTGGCTCCGGTTCAGTATTCTAATTATCGGCCTATTTACACAATCAGCATTCAAGCTAACAGAGCCTAACCTCTTCCCCTAAATTTTGGTCATGAAGCTAACTAAGTACAGCTCACTGACATTCTTTCAATACTCGGCCACAAACGCCTCGCTTCCATCTGCCATTTTACTTATTTGCAAAATAGTAGGAAATTAATGGATTTAAAACAACAAAAGAGTGCAAAACAGTTCTAACTAGGACACAAGAGTCTAATTTAAAAACCCATTCTTTCACTAGCATGTAACTCCACTCACACTAAATTCAGAATCTAATAATCACGACAAACAGATTCAAAAAATGCAGAAGATATAAAATATGAGGCAGAGATTTCAGCTTTGAGAAAACAAGCCAGAGAATTGGTCTGACAAGCGTTTATTTATTGATTGCTGGGAATACAGCCCATCAGAACACATGGCATGCATCTGGGGAGGAACGAATCACCTGCACTGGGACCATGCAGTAAACCTACCAGGATCCTGTCGGGCAGCGCAGATGGTACCCAGCGCTGGGTGGGTGACTTAGCTGCCTAATGGTGGCTAAGGTTCCAGGTGCAAATCCTTTGGGAACATATTTTCTTTTCATTACTCGGAATTACAACAGAACAGGGAAGCCGAGCCTTACCCTGCTCTCAAATTGAAAGCTGAGGAGTTACTTGGGATCATTTAAACAACCCATCATCCAAATCAGGTTCATTGTAAATTTTAACTCAATCCCTTTATAAATTTTTTCCTACCAATTCATGCCCCTCAGAATCAGAAGCACTGTGTGAATTTAGAAAAGATTAATAGCGAATGTAAGACTATGGTATTCGATTCCAGTATCTACTGCTGCACAATAATTAATACTAGATTTTTTTATATCCTATGGCCAATTTCTCTTTTAGATGTTTGCTATAACATGTATATAATACATTAAATAATTCCTGTGACATTTAAAAGGACAAAAATATAGTTGATGGAATATCAGACTATATTTAAAACTATACAATCATATATGGTTTATTTAATACGGTGATTGTAACCTACAGTATGATAAAATGTCTTCCAACTAAAGAGTGATATGCCACGTACTCTCTGGAAACTCTGTAATGAGCACTTTTATTAAAGGGACACCAATGTCACTTTGTATTCAAGCCACATCTCTACTTCTTTTATGGTCATGGGAAGAAAACACATAAAGACAGAAAAAGCTACTAGCCCAATAGGAAATGAAGGGATGTTTCGGATTTTTGTTCTTTTGCAGAAGCAGTCTTATCTTTTCATGAACATTTCTCTTCCTTCATGCTTCAGGGCCACTTGGTTATGGTCTGCAGCGTTGGACGAATCGAGGGTACAAGCACACATCTCGGATGTGATATCTGTTCAGAATCCAACTTAGGAATCTTTCCAGGCCCAGGCCATAGCCGCCATGAGGACATGTACCATATTTTCTCTGTTAAATAAATGAGAAGAGAAAAAATGTATGCTTACTTTAAAACTATAACTAAACATGTTGAAATTACTACCATGAGCTAACTTCCACAATGTAACGTAGCGTTAACTCATTGTAGTCATAATGCAGCCAAACCCATATGCCTTCATAAACTACAGAGACATAATAAAAACCACATCATGGATGGAGAGCCACCCTGAAAGGAAGAGAGAATTTCAACCTTTCTACCTTATTCCCATGACTTATCAGGAGAGTAAGGAACAGTATTAGATGTTGGCAGGATCTAATAATAGATTTAAAAACTGCAGCAGGGGCTAGCAAGGTAAGTTAGCTCAGCAGCTTAGTGCACTGGCTGTTTTTCCAGAGGGTCTGGGTTCAGATTCCAGCACCCACAAGGTAGCTTAGTACTCTCTGTACTGGCAGCTGCAGGAGCTCTCAAGCCCTCTTCTGCCTCTGGGGGCACAGCATGTGAAACATGCATGGAGGGAAAATACCCATACACATTAAAACACAAAAAAACCTGCAGCAGATAAAGAATTTGCCAAATGGCACTGACCTATAACTTGGCTGAAGACAAAAATGGCAATATCCAAATGCTACACAAAGCAAACACAGATCATCTAAATACTCATGGATGACCTGGGATTCTGGCCTCAATGCCATACAACACAAGGCATTTCAATGTATGAAAAATGTATTAAAAAAAAAAGCCAAAGAAGTTTAAACAATTGTTTTTACCTGATCTGTATACCAGTAATAAGGAGCAGGGTCAATTCCTTCCCTTTTGTAGCCTTCCAGAATTTCTTCACTATCCCAAGAGCGCATCGAGCCGCCCACAATCTCACCAACATTGGGCATCAACACATCAACCTTTAAATGATAAGTCAATAGACAAACAAAAAACTATCACAATTACGCTAGTCTATCAGACAAGATTTCAAGGCTTTAAGGAAAATTACAATTAAGCTCCTAACTTGAAAAGAAGCCCCGTGACTATGCAAAATTCAAGTATTATTCAAATTCTTTATCAGAACACGTCAACCCAATCAGGGAAGAAGTTTTTTTTTTTTTTTTTTTAACTTTAATTACTGTTAATATAGATTTATGAAACACTTGTCACGAGCTATATCTTATCCAAAATGACAGTTCCCAGTCCCTTAAAACAGCAAAGTTTCTAATAGAGAACCACAAACTGACAGATTCAGTGAGCCGAGGATCCTCAGGACATCGCTGCATATAGAAGGACTTGATCTCCACTGGAAATCGACACAGCAGGATCGGTTCATTAATGGTGTCTGTCATCAGTCTCTCAGGAGCTTCAGGAATATCCTGAGGTGAAACCAGATTTCATTAACTTTAAAACTGTGAACCGAGAGCAGCTCTTACAGCATCTGTTGTCCCCGGCTATGTTTCTGTAACACAGCAGAGGACACATACAGATCTAAAGCCCACAGACATGCACACAGGAACAAGTCCTTCGAAAGAGGAAAACCTACTCGTGGCATCAAGTGAACTGTAGGAAGATCTGCTTCTTTTAACACAGCCCATGCAGTGTGCTGAGGCTGCTAGGGAACAGCACCACTGCCCAGACATCTCTAAGCTGTGACAAGGTACTGCTCAGTATCTTGTTCAGTGGCCAGACCCAAGCTCTTAAAAGAATATGGCCCGCTTGGTCTCCAGAGCAGAAGACAGTCAGTGTATGCTCCAGGACATCACTGTTCTGCAGAGTACTGAAGACACTCATCTTTAAACTGTGACCTGCACTCCCTTCCTGTTACAAACATTACTTACTGGCAGAAACAGTCATAAAATAACCAACACACCTCCAACAATAACCAAGAAATATTAGATGATGAAAACCAAGCTAAATTAGTGTCTTTCTCAAAACATCCTTTAAGAAATCATATTCAAACCGGAACTCAAAACTCCTGTCCCAGTAAAAACTGAGAGCTGGACAAGAGTCATTGATTTGTTTTAAAAACTGAAGCAGGCTGGGTGGTGGTGGCTCACGCCTTTAATCCCAGCACTTGGGAGACAGGGGCAGGCAGATCTCTGAGTTCGAGGCCAGTCTGTCTACAAGAGCTAGTTACAGGACAGGCTCCAAAGCTACGGAGAAACCCTGTCTCAAAAAAAACAAAACAGACTTCAGTGCAGAATTATGCTATGCATCATAAACTGAATTTACAAGGCAGCAAGTGCAGTGTGGTGAGCTGCTGTGTCATTTGTTCTCAACAGAAATTCCTTCTTAACCCAAAGAAAAACTGCTGAGTAGCAGCTACTGACATTTCACCTGTAAACACACACACGTGCACGCAGCCACAGTGTACTAAAAATAATCAAATACATAGGTCTGGACCAGTTATAACTGACACCCCCAAATGCATGCTGGTAGGCTCGGGAATGCACTGGCCGAGGAATACTCATGAGAGCAGGAAGAGGAGAAGGGCACTGTGTGAAAGAAGGAACTCCAATGCTTTAGAATTGCCCAAAAGGACGCTGTTCTAAAGTCCACTCTATCAGATAACTCAAGACGTAGTTTCTGCTAGTACTATTGACTTGAGGACAGGTCGAGGCTTCCAGCATCAAGCAGCCACCATCAGCAACCTTAAGCACACACTCCCCTCTGAAGCAAGGAGAAAGGGATACATACGTCTCCAAACTCATAGAGCGTCCCGTCCTCCTTCTTTACATCGTGTTCCCTCAATCACTCAATAGCATCTGAATAGTTCATTCGTCTGAAAGGCCGTTTAGGAGGTTTAAAATTCTAGAGTAAAAAGAAGAAGAAAAAAACTGTATAAAAGGAAAGCATTCAGACTAAAATATCTATTAAGAAACAAAAATGGGGCTGGAGAGATGACTCAGTGGTTAAGTTACGGGCTGCGCTTCCAGAGGACCCAGGTTTGATTCCCATCATGGTAGCTCACAACCACCTACAACTCTAGTTCCAGGAGATTCAACACCTTCTTCTGGCTTCCAGATACACTGCATGCATGTGGTGCACAGACATGCAAGCAGGCAAAATGGCTCAGGCATATTTTTAGCTAGCTCTTACATCTTAAATTAACCCACTTCTATTAGTCTATGTATTTTGTGGCATTTCCTCATTTTCTACATGTCTTATTTCCTCAGCAGCTGGCTGGCATCTGTTTGACTCCGCCTACTCTCTCTCTACGTATCTCTGTTCGGATTTCCTGCCTGGCTTCAGTCTGCTAAGCCATTGACCGAAACATCTTTATTCATCAACCAATAAAAGCAACACATATACAGAAGGACACCCCACATCAGATAGGTGAAGCCTTGGCCAGGCAAGCCTGACAGCCAGGGTCTGATCCGTGGAACCCCACTCCACAAAGCTGTTCTCTGCCTTCTATGTGCCTTCATTGTACAAGTGGGCCCACACACACCATTAACACATAAGGTAATAACAAATTCTTAAAAAAGAAAACAATTCTACAGATCATTAATATGAAAGAGCATTTCAGATGAAGAAATACTTATGAACCACCTCTTCTATAAGCTAAAATATAGTTATTGGCAATTACCAATATTAAGTTTAAGTCTTCAAAACATTACCTACTTAATTTCAGCTCACAAAATCTACAAAAATTGAGAGCGATTGTGTCTTCTACAAGACTGGAGCCCTTCGTTTTGAGAAAACACCACACCTACCGGGTTGAGGTCGTACACTATGCTCGCCACTGGTGACTTCAAGACTCTGTCCACCACATCGCACACCAGGTCCTCCAAACGGTTCAGGAGGTCCTCAAAGGTCAGGAAGGGGCACTCGGCTTCCACGTGCGTGAATCTGAACAACACACACAGCTGAGAACTGCTCTTTTTTTAGACAAAGGTTGTCTCAAGCAAAGATCTGGACCTGCAGGAAGTGTCCAGAAAGGAACCAAGGCCCTGCTCTCGCAACCCTCACTGACTGGTACCTAAGAAGCCAACTGCCTTTCCTTGCTTCTCAGCCAGCGTCTTATAGCCCAGGCTGGTCTTCAACTTCTGATCTTCCTCCACCTCCCAACTGGCATGTACCACCATGCCCGCTACTTTTATGTGGTGCTGTGGACAGAACCCAGACCCTTATGTATGCTAAGCATTCACTCGACTAGCTGAACTTTAATTCCAGCCCGAGGGGCAGCTTGGGTAGGACAATTTCGTACTCGGCCAGGTGCCTTCGTGTTCTGGACTGTTCGGCCCTGTAGGACTGGGCTATACAGAAAACATCCCCCAGGGCCGGAAGGCAGGTCTCCAGGTACAGCTGCGAGGACTGGGTCAAAAACGCTTCCTCCCCAAAATAGTCAAGCTTGAAGAGTGTGGCCCCGCCTTCCACCTGCGTCTGCACCAGCGTCGGGGTGGTAACCTGTTAGGGTGAGAAGGAGCACACAGGTCTGCTACTGCCAGCAGTCTTCCAATGGCACGGGCGTCACTCGTAGAAGGTGACCTGCAACAGGCACTTACTTCACAGTAGCCCCTGTCGAAGAAGTGATCCCTAAAGCACCTGGTGATCATGGACCGTGCCTTCAAGATTTTGGACATGTTCTCTCCGCGGATCATCATGTGCCGGTTGTTGAGCTGGACATCGACATCAGACTCCTCGTTGATCAGGTTATCAGCCCCTCCAGCTGGGGCCAGCCCCACCAGTTCCCAGAAGTCACAGCTCAGCTCGTGGCCTCCCGGAGCCTACAGTTTAACAAGCAGAAGGGAAAAGCAGAGGGAGTGAGACAGACACGAAGCTGACAGTCCTGAAGATCCTGGGCCCAAATTTCCAGATGTTATTTTAAGAGCATCATTAGTAGTTTTAGCCTCTAGATTTACACACCCAGCAACTCAGTATTACAATTTTATATTTAATACTTCTTTCCATGTAAACACACACACACTTTTATAAATAAGAAGGCATGTACTAAGAATTAAACCAACTCTAATTCCATGGCCTGGAGTAATTACGGCTATTAGCATCATGGTTTATTTTTCTAGCATTTGCCTAAAGATTTAGTTAACATACTTATCCATATTTCAAAGCTTAAATACGGAGCTAAGAGCTGGTTCAGCGGTTAGGAGTGCATACTAAGCTTCCAGAGGACCTGAGTCCAGTTCCTAACACCTACGAAGTGGCTCAAACCACTTTTAAATCCAGCTCCAGAGGGTCTGACATCTCTGCTTCCTGAGGGGATCTACACTCATGTGCACAGAGCACACACCCACACCCACACATAATTGAAGTAATAAAAGAAATAAAATCTTAAATTTTGGAAAATGGAAAGTTTTACTAAAAGCAGTTTATCTATTTGGAGATAGTCAAAATCTCCCCTACTGACTCTACAAAAAGTAATTCTTTTTAAAAGCCTCACATTCGTGGAACGTGGAGTCATCTTGTTGCCAAACACTGGATAGCAAGTAACACCATGACAACCACTCCATCTCTACCATGCCACTTCAAGGAGGGCCGGGTGAATCCACTCAGACAATCACTTTTATTACAGGGCAGGCTTTTACACAGACTCTGGGCTAGGAGTGTTTGCTCCCTCTTGTGGTTAATATGCTACATCTGTAGTTTCTCTACCTGGGCAACAATCACAACCACAGTAGTTATTTGAATTGTGATTACCGATTGACAGGTTACCTAGGCTAGGGCACAAATATATCCTATGCACATTTTTCTTCTCTCTTTCTCCTCTTATTTTTTTTTTAAACTACCAATTCCTGTTCAAAACATTCCAGTTTAGACTAGTGTTTTCTGAAACTCTCAGTGGTCTAGATTTTACTTTCACCTCACTAAAGTTACTACTATACCACAGCAAAGTGGCTGCCCAACTAACCAAGAGGATCAGTAAGGAGTTAAGTTGAAAAGCTAAGGTGTTTTGTTTTGTTTTGTTTGGAAGCAAGTTCTCATTATGTAGCTCTGACTGTCCTGGAACTCACTGTGTAGACCACGTTGATTCACAGAAATCTATCTGCCTCTGCCTTCAAGTGCTGGGATTAAAAATAATGTGTGAGCCCACGCTATTCTGATTTGACCGTGAGCTCTGCATTCTCTCAAAGTCACAGTGACATTACCTGCCCCCTCGGCAGCAGAGGAAGGTGTTCGGGTCAGGAGGCCCCTACCTGCATGAATGAGTTTGGTCACTCAGGTGAGTTAGCGTCAGTGATCATGAGACTAGATTTGTCACACAAGCCAGCTCAGCCCCACCCCAATGTACTGAATGCATTCTTTAGTCTTGATGCCCCTCCACTGTGGACTAACCAACTTCCAGAACTACAAGAAAATTCTCTTGTTTTCATAAATTTCCCAGTCCATGAGACTCTGTTATAGCTACGAAAATCAGACTACAACAAAAACTGTTAGCGGACATATTTTACGGGAAACAAACACAGTACACTGAATTTACATTACTTTACACTTGTGTATTTATATGCCAAATGTACCAATAAAGACATTGGAGAACAAACCATTAAATACCGACCACTTTATTCCACGCGTTCACCCTGCTCACCTGCTTGCCCTTTGGAGTCAGGTTTAGTGTTCCGTATACCGCCACACTGCTCTCAGTGGACAAGACGACTCCATTGTAACACTGGCACTGCAAAAAGGTCAAAGTTCATTATTAGGCTACTTATGCCGACTTTAAAATATTCTAATAAAGTCAAAGGAATTGTTTATAAACAAGTTGTTAGTCAAATATTTGTAAAGTCAGGATTAATACTACCACTAATTTTGCTTTTGGCTTCTTTTTGAGACAGGGTCTCATATGGCCCCAGCTAGCCTTGCACTGCTCATGTTCCTGCCTCTTCTTGCAAGTGCTGGGATTACAGGCTGTGCTACCACCCTGGGTTCACCACTGATTAATGAGAGAATGAGAGTGGACAAGCGCTATTTTTGGAGGAGGCAATGTACCCATGCACCACATGTTTCTATTAGCAACGGAGTGCTACGTGTCACCTATTGGGTAGCTGATATTACCTATTGATATGATAGCGAAGTACACCCTGATATTTGCTCAATGAGATAGCTTACTGAAGTATTTCTTGGACTGGGGTGCTATGGTTGAGCAACATATGGCTATATAAAAACATATTTACGTTCCCTTTAGATGAACACATAAGCATAAAAGACCCTAGCCCATTACATAGCCATTCAGTTCATTTTTGACTTAAGACAGAGCCTCTCTACACTGTGATGGCCAGCACATGCTAAAGTCATTAGGAGAAAAAGAATGGGCAGTTCGACAGTAGAGGGATAAGGCTTCTACACTGAAAGCCACTGGTCACAAAGACATGTCAACATCATGTGCCTCCTGACATAACCAGAACAGCTTTGCACAGGAAGCACTCATGTAAAGGAGAAAAAAAAAAAAATCAACACTATCAGACCAAAGTCCATTTATAAAACACAGGGTAAGCAGAAGCACACTAAAGTGAGAGAGTCAAGAATTAACCAAACTCATCTGTGAGACACTCCAGAGTAATTTCCGGATTTTCCTCCCACAAATAACTGGGAGCAGAAAGAGAGATAATGAACAACAAGGAGACACTGTTAGCAATGTGACATCCAGGGAAAGACACCAAGACCCTGTGGTTACTCAGGCCAGGTCATAAGACTTTCAGTACTGCTCTGTCTTTATAGTTCAAGAAAATTTCCATAACAAAAGCTTCTCTCTAGCTTTTTACATCAAAACTTTTTACATTTATGATACACAACGGTTTTGACATAGGTATCCAGTTAACACAGTAAAAATCTGAAGTATGTGTAGAGATCCTAAAATTCTCAAAACTTATAAAATGGACTGTATTAAATTCAATCTTTCAGGCATATGTAAGATAAAATACTTACCAAGTCATCTGACAAGACACACTGCAGGTAGCCCGTACCATCTCGCAACACCAGAAACATCAAATTCTTTCCTAGGAACAAGAAACAAAACTTCAGCCAGGGTACTTCACAATCCTCCTACATAAAACAGTCCCAGGGGCAGTCATGGGAGTTCAGACCTCTCCATGCTCTCTGCCCCCAAGCCTCATCTCTGTGTACTTTATGTTCTAACCACATGATCCACACAGTCTGCATGATCATGGGACGGTAAGTCAGTTAAGGACCTGAGGCATTGTCTTATCTACTTCTGAATCCCCTATAATGTAAAGAAAAGTGCTGAGCACTCAGGAGGAGGGATATAAGGATGTGAAATTAAACACTCATTTATTTTTATGAAAGATTTGATAATCACTTATAGCAAGATAATAAATAATAAAAAGAGAGAAAAGGTCAGGCTGAAGGTAATCATAAAAATCAAAACTAGGATGCTGGTGGGAGAGAGATCCTGGATAATCTGACATCAATCTCAGTCCTCCACAGGTGTATGTCCACACATAAGCATGCCACACACATTCAAACATGTATTCATACACAGCATACATGGGGAGAGGGGAGAACAGGAACCGACAAAAATACTAACTAAAGAAGGTCTCATTCCAGATCAGGATCTGTCTTTCCTTATAACACACAGCCCTGTTTCTCAATAAATAGTTAAAATTCAATTTGAGGATGATGTACTTGTTATACACCTCTTGATCATGTGATTACTAAGAGTTCAAGTAATATCTAAATAATCTTCAAACTTTCATAGTCAATTACATATGAACAAATTTAGGTTATAAATTATTACATCACTTAAAAAGACAGTATACATACCAAAAACCTAAACAAACTCGGAAAAGTGTTTTTATGCGGGTCTTTGTAAATGTAGTCTGCTTGTTCATTTCCCAGCCATCCAGACCCAAACAATCACACAGAAACTATATTAATTACAACACTATTTGGCCAATTGGCTCAGGCTTCTTATAACTCTTACATCTTAAATTAACCCATTTCTGTGTATCGCCACAAGGTTGTGGCTTACCAGAAAGGTTCTGGGGGGCATCTTTCTCTTTTGGTAGCTACATGGCATATCTCTGACTCTGCCTACTTTCTCTATATATCTCTGTTCAGATTTCCCACATGGCTTTGCTCTGCTAAGCCATTGGCCCAAACAGTTTTATTCACCAAGCAATAAAAGCAATACATATACAAAATGACATCCCATATCAGTTTTTCATCTAAGACCAGGTTTATTTAAGATTGAAAAGAGGGAAAGAAAAACCACCCCACTCACCTTGCCTACGCAACCTGTGGACCCAGCCAAACACCTTCACTCTTTGGCCTCTATATCCTTCTAATGCACAAATCTTTACCTGTCGAATTTAAATAAAAACTATCTCAATTATGCCATTTATCACATACCAAGATTTTCACTAATATTACAAAGACCCATAGATTGTAGTAAAGTGTTAAAAACTATCACTGCTGAGTGCGATGGTAGACACATTTAATCTCAGCACTTGTAAGGCAAGCCAGGAAGATCTCTATGTGGGATACTAACAAGATCTTTTATAGAAAGAAACCCAACAAAACAACAACAAAATACTCAAACTAACCAACCAACCAAAAAATACTACCCAACATAACAATTAATTTAAAAAAAAAATTCTTTTCCATCAGTGTAAAGTTGGTAATGAGAGATACCCACAACCGGCTGGGATCCTATTAAAGAAAAACAGGTAAGGAGTGAATTTAGTTTGTCCCCCACAGTAGCAATCCCAGCCTGTCCAGTCCCTCTGCACACCAACACACCAGGAAACTACGACAAGAGAGGAAATGTGAAGAGGAACTAGGTGGTGACGGGAGGGACTAGGAGGTGACAGACACTAGGCCAGCAAAAGTATCAATGGAACCCAAGCCACACTCACTCCTGAGTCAGCAATCTGTTTGGGTCCCAGAAAAAACACAGGAGCAGACTTCCCCTCAAATAATCATAAATGCTTCTTATGTATTTGTAAAACTTATGAAAACCACAGAGATTTCGACCTTTTTACTTTTGGGTGAGGAAACTGATACTACAGAGGTCAAAATCATTTGCCTCAAATCACCCAGCACAGCCAGCTAGTACTCCACACCTGAGACCCATCAGCCAGAGCAGAATCTGCTTATCACACAATTTCTAGTCTTAGCAACAAAATGAACCTCTAAAAGCCAACCTCAGCACTTAAAAACAAGAAAAAACAAAACCTAAGAACAAAAGATGTGTATGTCCCGCAGACCCAGAAACCCAGAAACAGCCATGCCCACAGTGCCAGAAACGACAGACACTTACACAGGCTGGCTCTGGCAGGCTTGGGTCATTTTTAATGATAATTTTCTTTGCTTCCTCCAGGTTCTTTTCTCTTCGTAAGTTATCTTCTGCCTGATAGTAAACACAATGCAAGTGGTCAGTGCAGTTTTGGGTGTTGTACTATAAGAGTGTGCACAGCAGCAAGTTCACTAGTCACCTCTTTCTTCTCCCGAGAGTCATTCTTCATCTGTTCTCTGTGCCACATCTTTTTAATGTTCTTCATCTGTGACTTAGAAATGACATCCCACCTCTAGAGAGAGAGCACACAGATATGCATTATTTTCGACCCCTCTCTGTGCTCAGAACAATTTGTCATTCACAAAACATGATCAGCGATTAGCGTCCCCTACCTCATTTTCCTTTTGTGAATCCACATAAATGGTGGGAAACGGCTCCTTCCCGACTGTCATCAAAGCCTTGGGGAGGGAGGGAGAGAAAAGATTTCTTTAATATTATACAATGCTTAGTAACCAAAACCGCACCTGGATTATGAATTTGAACATGACGAAGAGCTTAGACGAAACTATCAGGACCCAAGAGACAAAACTTAATGTCAATAGGAAGACTGGCTGAGCCTCCTTCAGAAGGAGTTGGCTCCTAAGAGCGGCAGGTCACACTACAGAAAACTCTTAACACATTCGCCCACACAGCAAATGACCTCCACGCAGAGCAGAGTCAGACAGACACAGGGACAGGCACAGCTATGCCAACAAAAGCAGCAGCGGAGAGCAAAACCCCTTTACTAGCAACACCTGAGAGGTTAGCGATTTGTGAAATCTGGACCTAAGACAGGCAGGTCTGAAACTCTCTCAACAAAATAACAGCTAAGTTATATTTAATTTGAAAAATTCTTGAGACTATTCTTTTTTGAGCAATATTGACATATCAGACGTTAGTGTATTATAAATCATTTAATAGTTTATCATTTGTGTGTTTTAAGTTAATTAACAAAAATGCTTGTTATGCTTTTATTGATCATGGGGGGGACACCTAAGGACAATTAGGAGAATCAGCTCTCTTTCCAATACTTGGATCCCAGGGACTGAATTCAGGTTGTCAAGAATCACCTTTGCCTACTGAGCCAACTCACTGGCGCCCAAAAAAATAATTATTTAAATGGGGTCTCTAGTTCAGACCAGTCTTGACCTTGCTGTGTAGCTGAGGATGATCTTGAACTCCTGATCCTCCTACCTTTCTTTACCTTCCAAGTGCTGGAGTTACAGGCTCAAGGCAAAGATGAGTATTGTAGTAACCTCAATCACTGTCTGAAAATTCTCACACAGGAAAAGAAATGTCTTATTCTTTCTGGAGGTAAGAGCTGAAGTTTATAAACCTCTGAGATCCTACCACACATCTATTCTTTGCCTATTTGAGCCCCCATTAGGGCTGCTGAGCTGTCCTGCTTCAGCTGCTCTGAGCCATGTCCTCAACTGTCTGGTTTCATTCTTCAGCTAGAGGCCATAAAATTACAAAGGACAGTCACGTGGGGACATAAACAGCTAGGCCTGTAAGGAAACATTAGCAACATTTATTTAAGATTAGCTAAGACCCCCGCCCCCGCATACTAAATGACAAACACACACACACACACACACACACAGAGACAGAGAGAGAGAGAGAGAGACTCCCCACAAACATAAAAGGAACAAGAGGAGGAATGCCTAATTCCTGGAAAATCTCCACCCATTCTCAGAAGACAGGCAGCACACACAATGACTACTTCATCTTCCTCCCTCATATTCTAAATCCTCCAATCTCCAAGACCCGAGAAGCTAGCCTGCAAGTTTATCTCCCATTTCTACCAGTCTTGACTAGTTTTTCCTTTTCCAAAACCAAGGGCAAGAGGAACCCTAACCTTCTAGTGTGATTTTTGTCCACTTCGTTGCCTGCTGTAGAGCAGGGATGTAAATCTTTTGCAAACACCAAGAGACTTAACCATAAATTGTCATAGGATCACAGTCTTGTACCACATCAGTGATGAACTGCATGTCCAACTACGGCCCCATCAGACCACAGCATGAAGGACTGCTGTGGCTACCTACAGTGTTCTAGAAGACTCTATCTCTCATCAACACACAGCTGCATCTGCAGACAGTTGGACTTCGCTTCTTTCCTGATACTGTACATCGATACTCATTTTTTTCTGTCAGGGATGGAAAGCGCCTATCATTCCTTGTAACAGAACAACTCAAGCTGCAACACTCCTCTTCCGCTGGTCACCTCAAGTGTTAATCAGTTTTGGAAAGTCACAGGATATGTCTCAATTGAACAAGACTTCACTCTTTTTTTTTTTTTTAAAGATTTATTTATTTATTATGTATACAGTATTCTCAGTACTCTGCCTGCAGGCCAGAAGAGGGCACAGATCTCATTACAGATGGTTGTGAGCCACCATGTGGTTGCTGGGAATTGAACTCAGGACCTTTGGAAGAGCAGGCGGTGCTCTTAACCACTGAGCCATCTCTCCAGCCCAAGACTTCACTCTTAAAAGTTAAAAAACAAAAACAAAAACAAGACCCTGGTATGACATATCAAGGCATAACCTGGCCTGACCTAGAGAAAACACTTCCAGGTTAAGAGAACTTGATGACTGATATTGTCAGGCATCTAGAAAAACAAGGATTGGCCAGATATGGATGCACAGAAAAAGTAGTGTCAGGGGCTTGCTCTTCCAAAGAGGGAGCAGAGCATTTAGTCTTCCCTCTTATAGGGTAGCTGAAACCAGGGGGGCCCAGCATTCCAGTTCAACGGGCCTGTCAATGAATAAATAGTATGGTGGAGACACCTTGGACCACATCCTAACCTGAAGGGACTAGCTGTGAGCTGGAGCACTCCTGTGGTATGTTAATAGTCCACTTAGAACGAGCTAACCTCAACGATGTTCCTAGGCCCGAAGAGAACAGTACACTACTCAAGTGGCATTTCTGTCTTCACCCTTCAGATTCCTGAGTCTGCTGTGAGAAGTGGTCCTCAGATGGGTGCTGCTATGTCAAGTCTTTGCATCTCAAGGTCAGGATGATCTCTGTACTATGATAAATACACCAAGAGACCTCTCTTCAGATTCCCCAGGTACGAGCTCAGTAAGTTCACTCAAAGGTAACTTTTACTGTTACAAGAGCTGAAAAACAGACAACTCTGACGAGAAAAGGGGCAGAGATGAACACCTTGTGGAAAAAAAGGGAAAGAAACTGCTTTAAATGCCCCCCCCCCAAAAAAGTTTGGGCTCTGATCTAACACTGTTAAATTAACATGTGAACATGTGTGTACACACCCTCTACTTTCCCTTTTAGGAGACTCTTTTCAAACTCTAGTGTGTGAAATAAAACTATGGGCAGTGGTGGCGCACGCCTTTAATCCCAGCACTCGGGAGGCAGAGGCAGGCGGATCTCTGTGAGTTCGAGGCCAGCCTGGTCTAGAAGAGCTAGTTCCAGGACAGGAACCAAAAAGCTACAGAGAAACCCTGTCTCGAAGAAAAAAAAAAAAAAAAAAAAACCACGGGCAAGAAAAAAAAAAAAAAAAAAAAAAAAACCAAACCAAACTAAAACAAAACAAAAAAAACCAGAACTATTGGGCTGGAAAGATCACCCAGTGGGGAAAGGTGACTGCCACTAGGCATGATGAACTGGGTTTGAGTTTGATACCTAACATTCACATGGAGGAAGGACAGAACAAATGGCGGATAGTATCTTCTCATTCCATATGCAGAGGAACACAAATACCCCGCCCCCATGAACAAAGGTAGTATTTTCTTTTTAAAGAACGGAATAAAATTCTCATTCGCCACAAGGGTCCTTCCTCAAGGCGGAGCAGCCACCCTAGTGAGGTTACCTTCAGGCCGGTTTTAAATGGCTTCTCCTTGGTTCCATCCCCTGTTGCATCATTTCCTTCTCGGTCAGAGACATACAGCTCTGCTGTTTATAAAAAGAGGAAAAGTTACTCATCGTTCATCAATAACTGTCAGCCACGTTACCTTGCTGCAGCTCTATCCATTTTCTATCTTCGGGAAACAGAAAAAGCATCTGGTTTGTAAAGACGCCCACAGGCCCAAAGAAATCAACATGTTATTTTTCAGATCTCCCCTTTTAAGACTATCCCACCTAGTACAATGAATTACAAAACTGATTTTTCTAAACGAACTTTTTCGTTATTTTAACCTGCTGGCACGACTCTTTTCCTTGAGCGAACAATAAAGCTGGGGTTTTGAAATCCATCCTACCTTGATGAGATGCTGTACTTTAAATTAAAAGCCAGGGTGACCCGGGGAGAATTTATTTAACCTTACTGTGCTTATTTCTTTATCTTTAAAATCAGGAAAACAATATACACCTTACAGGGCTGTGTGTACTGAGGATGAAACGGAACAAGATGTAAATCAGGCATCCCGGTACACAATGCATCGGGAGCAAGTGAAAATGACAGTTCCCTCTGCTCTTCAAAACAAACCCAATCTCTGGGGTTAAACCGCAGGGGGCCTCACAACTGCTAGGTCTAATTGGGACACTGCCTCGGTCTCTTAAATGTCTTATTTCTACGGCTGCAAATCTCAGCAGAAAAATAAGGTTTGCGAGAAATAATTACAGTCTTAAATCCTCCATAAGATCAAGAAAAGAACTGCATAGTTGGGGGTTTCATTAGGTCCCAGCGCCTTGCTGCGCCCCAGTCTGGGCGGCATCACGAGACTTTGGCAGTAGGGCTGGGCCAGAGAGGCGGTGGCCGAGGGACCCACAGGGCTGGAGTAGAACCGGACTTAGGTCACCGAGTCTGGTGCCCAGGTGGTCCAGGTCTGAGGGTCTGGTGTGAAGGACCAGAACCCCGCAAATATTTGGGAGCGTGCCCACGCTGCGCCAAGCACGGAAGGGAGGTCTGGAAATTCGGCCGGAACATTTCTGTACCGGACCTCAAGCCGAACCTCACTCACCGAGTACCATCCCTGCAGTCGCCCTGATCACCTCCGAGGACATCGACACCGCACCACCGCCGCCTGGTCACCTCAACGTGCACACAGGGCTTCCTTGACTGAGGCGTTGCATCATACCGCCTAGGGCAGTCGTCGCGGATATGAGTCAGCGGAACGTCGGGCATCCATTGGCTGCAGGAGGTGGGCAAGTGACGCAGAGGCCACCATGTTTGGTCAGGGAAGAGAACACTTCCGGTTCGGAGGCACTGGGTGGGGTGCCTTCCAGGGACTCCGGAGGCGGAACTGGGTCTCCCTGGAATGGGTTGGACAGCGTGGTTAAGCTCCCTGCCTTCCCGACTCTGCACCTAGCTCAACGCACGGCAGATTCTGTTTCTGAGTCAACCAATATGAGGGAAAAGGATTTTTAGATGTGTTTTTTAAACTTTTATGTGTAGTGTATGAGTTTTGCCGGCATCTATGTACGTACACCAGGTGTGTGCCTTGTAAAAGAAAAGTCATCGCATCCGTTGGAACCGGAGATAAGGATGGCTGTGAGCTGAGAAACGAACTCGTGAGAGCAATGTGTGCTCTTAACCGCAGAGTCCCCTATAGGATACTTAAAAAGAAGAAGAAAGGAATTGTGATGAGCTGACCGTCTACCTGCTTCCCTAACAGAACAGTTTATATAGCATTTAATTGCATTAATTGATCACTAATCCACAGATGATTTAAAATATGAATGAGGATTTATGTAGTCTCATTGCAGACACTACGCTACTGGATATAAGGCGTCCGTTATTTCACTATTTGCGTGCGTTGTGTTAAAGTCCCTGAGATACCTAGAAACGACCGTGGATCTTGCACGTCACCAGTCAGTTTACGGATAACGTGTCTGGCCAGGATCGGTTCAGCGCTCGCAGCACAGCCTGGACTTCAGGAAGGGCTTGGTTAACTCTCTTAGACGAACAGTCTCATTTAATCAGAACTTCCAGAAGCTGGCGTTTCCTTGATGCACAGCTGAGAGTCGCTTCCAGAAACGGGCTGACATTTGACAGTGCCCTTTATTGTTTGACTCACAGACGGAATTGTGGTTGATTAGTGGCATTGTTCAGGCTGTGACCAGTTTAGGGGCGCTTTGTCCTTCTAGTCACCGTGTTCCCGTTCTGTTCTTCAGATTGTTCTGGTATGTCTACCGGGTCCATTTGGTTTGCGGTGCACTTAAAGGGGTTTGTCTGTATTTAACTTTCGCCATAGTTACCTGCTTATGTTCGGAGCGTCGTCATACGAATCCGACGTCGCCATGTTGACTTCGGGCAACTTCCGGGTTCCTCTCGGTCCTGTCAAACCCGCAGAAGTCTTCCAAGAGCGGTCATGTGTGTTCAGTGTTTTGCTCCACAAAACAAATTTTGAAGAGAGAAAAGAAATCACTGTGACTTCTTCTTACCCCGCCCCAGCCTGAAAAGAGATGTAGTGTATGGAAAATATAAGTAATGTATAAAATCCGTAATTGCAGACAGTGGAGAAATCACTACGAGACTATTTTAAGGAACTGAAGATTCAACTTCCCTCTCAAATTGGAGAGTTAAATTTGAGCAAAAGTTAGTTCGTTAATTCCTGGAGAACTTTTTCTTTGGTGATCCTCAAGCCGTTTCAAATTTATGAACTGCTTGTCTGTAAGCATCCAGGAGTTTAAATAAAATCGTTTAAAAATTAATATCTCATTAAAGAAGACGACTTTGAGCAATTAGTGTATCTGAAGCCAAATACACTTGAAAATAACACAGCTGGCTCCATGACCTTGTTCTGAACCCTAACCTCTTGAGTCCTAGATACTTTGCAAAATGATAGGTACACAGCTCTCAAAAAGTAAAGATTTTAAATGACTGAGGATGCAGGCAAAACACTTATACAAATAAAAATGATTAAATCTTCAAATAGAACAACGCAGGACCACTGTGCAGAACTTTAAGGTAGGTGGGCTACTTACGCCAGCAGAACCACCATGTTGGAAAGGTTATTAATCTTGCTCAGGCTCCTGATACTTTCAAATAATAGGAATCGTTATTGAAAGTTGCTCTAAACCCTGTAGGGTTTGCTTGTTTCTTCTTCATGAGAGGAGACTGCATCCTTGTGGAGCTAAACTGAGAGGAGTCCATTGTCTAACATTTCTCACTAGGAATCAATTTTCCCAGGGGCTAAAAACCAACCTCTAGTATAGAGGTCACTTTGCCCATTGAGAGTCATCTTGCAGTTTCACGACAAAAACAGGTGCTGCCCAGCCAAACCGCATAATGATAAACCAGTCCAGGGATATAGGATGGGGGTAGCTGGGGACTCCACTTCTTTTCAGCTTCTTTGTTTTAGTTTTGTTTGACCAATATAAACACTCTGTGCTCAGTGGATACTTTTAATAACATAAAGAACTATTTTCATTTGTTTGTTGTTTGTTTATCTATTTATTTTGGTTTTTCAAGACAGGATTTCCCTGTATAGTCCTGGCTGTCCTGGAACTTGTTCCAGAGACCAGGCTAACCTGAACTTAGAGATCCTCCTGCCTCTGCCTCCCTAGTGCTGAGATTAAAGGCACGTGCCACCACCACCTGGCACACAAAGAACTTTTCCTAAAAGTCGAGCATTAGTTTCCATTTCTGGAGAATTCACAACAAAATTTGAGTGCTACAAACATTTTAAACAAACATGCACCAAGAAGGACTCTTCTAAATTCACCAGATTTTTCCAAGACTGGGCTCTTTTTTAGGGTGTCTTGTTTGGCTTGCAGAGAAAATGCTTTCATGGAAGCAAGATTTACAAATCAAGATACCCTGTGCTCAGCTGTCACAGAGGGCAGTAGAGGTACCAAAGAAGAAATTATATGTTGGTGCTGGTGATCAAGAAAGAAAATGGTCTTTGCCCTCTTCCAATCCTAATAACTTAAATCACCAGATCAGCCACTTCAAGACCCATCCTTGGTTAGTGGGCCAGAAGATGAATACTGGAGTTGGATAGACTCTTTGGGCCAATGTGTTTCTCACTGGGATAAACAGAGGGCTCTCACTATCCTGAAGCTTCAGGACCAATCATTTATACAGTTATAAGCCTAAGTCAAGCAGCCCCTGCAGCTGTCCAATGGGTTTGAACTCATGGTCCTCCTGCCTTAGCATCCTGACTGCCTTTTAGGATACAGGCTTGTACCGCTGTATCCCAGTTTTACCCCAGAAGCTGATCCGTAAGGAGGAGGGATTTCCTTTGGCTCCTAGTTTCAGGACATAGTCACTTAGCCCTGGCTCTTTGGACCGGTGGTGGCACAATCGTGATGGGAATACGCGATGGAACAGAGCCTGGGAAGAAAAACTGAGAGGAATTAGGGGTCTCCATATCCCCCCTCAAAGTCATTTCCTTAATGACCTAATTTCCTCCCACTCATTTTCACCTCCTGAAGATGGCACCGCCTCACAAGAGTGCCACAGGCTGGGGACCACGTCTTTAATACATGGGTTTTAGAGGCATTTCAGATCCCACCTGTAACACCTTCAACTTTACTTCTGTTTCTTGCAAGTCTTTGCGTTTCCAGATGAGATTTAGAATTGGCTTGGGTTGGGATTGCATAGCTTCTGTCCATCAACCCCACCTCACCTCCTTCCACGTGAAAGGAAGCCAACAGGCACAGTTCTATGCTTGGTCCTTCTGTCTTCACAATGAGTCATGTAGATCGTAGTAGTTTTTTTTTTTCTCTTTTACTTTTTACTCTTTGGTCTTTTGGGGACCCACCTCCCGGCTCTCAAATTAATACACCCAGAGACTTATTATTACTTATGAAGGCCCAGACTTAGCTTGGCTTGTTTCTAGCCAGGTTTTCTTAAACGATCCTGTCTACCTTTTGCCTCGGGACTTTTTCCTTTTCTTGCTTCTCTGTATCTTACTTTTACTCTTACACTGTGACTGACTGTGTGACTGACCTCTTCTTTCGCTGCTCCCCGATCTCGATCTCTCTCACTTCTCGTTATTCCGTCTGCCTGCCAGCCCCACCTGTCCATTCTTCGGCCTCGTTATTGGCCATTAAGTTTTTTATTAGAACAATCAGGTGTTTAAGACACACAAGTAACACAGCTTCACAGAGTTAAACAAATGCAACAGAAAAGAATGCAACACGCCAGGCGGCGTGGCACACGCCTTTAATCCCAGCACTTAGGCGGCAGAAGCAGGTGGATCTCTGTGAGTTCAAGGCCAGTATTTTGTGACCAAATTGCACCCCATCATATACATACCGTATCTGTTGACTCCCCGGCTGATGCGGCATCTGATGATGCTGATGTTGCTTCTACCTCTGGGCTGCTATGGACACTGGTTTGTGTTTGCTTGAGTGCCTGTTTCTGATACTGTCAAGTACGTGTCTCAGCGTGGAGTCAAACTTGCTTTGACTGAGTAAGCTGTCTTCCTCAATGAGTATACTGCTTCCCATGTCCCCCAAAAGGATGGAGATTTCTCCATTTTTCTCTTAGTATCATGACTATGCTATTGAGTGTGAAGAGGAATTTCATTTTGATAACTTATCTATTTGAGGTAGGATTGAGCTAATTCATATTGGCCCTAAATTCACCATGCTGAGAATGCTCATGCCTGTCTTTGTTTCAATTTTCACTTTCTGAATGGTTGAACCTTGGACGTCTTTCCATTTGCTCATCAACCATCTACACAGATCCTCGGAGAAGTAACTAGTCTAGGAAATACTTTTCCTTTTTCTTAAGAAATATTTTTTTATCTGTATGGGTGTTTTTCCTGAAAGTATGTCTATGTACCCTTGTATGCATGCTGTCTGCAGAAGCCAGAAGAAGGTTCGGATCCTCTGGAGCTGGAGTTACTGATGGCTGTGAGCTGCTTTGTGGGTGCTGGGAATCAAAACAGGGTCCCTGGAAGAGCAGTTAGAGCTCTTAACCACTGAGCAATAACTCAAGCTCCCTAGAAAATTATTTCTCTGAGCTTTGTTTTAGGAATCCCAACTTCCACCTTCTCTAGAAATTTCCTTCAATGTCTTGACAGGCCTTTTAGTTTTAAAACACATCAAAAATTTTATTGCAACTGTAACTAGGTAGCAGATTCTGAAAGGAGCTTTAGAAACCGTTTTTGCGGTTTTCCTAATCTTCTTTCCCATTACAGGAAGGCGGC